GGGGCCGAGGGCGCCTCAGCTCCTGCCCCCACCGTCCGTGATCAGGGCCCGAAGAAGCTTCTCAGACTGGTGGCTCCCATCCTCTCGCCTGCGCAGGAGCCAAAAAGAGGTTCTCTGAGCCCCCCACGGTAGTCAGTTCCAATCCAACCTCCCAACCAACCCCTCTGTCGTCTTCAGGTCTGCGACCCCCCCTACACACAGCCCCGACCGGGCCCTGCGTCTCTGCCATTTCCCAGGTGAAAGGGGGATGGATGCTCATGTGTGACCATACCCCACCCCAGAGCTGACTTCCCCTCTCTTGGCCTGGGGGTCCTAACCCTCACTCTACCCCAGACCCGAGGACTTGCTGGCTGGTGCAGGATTGAGCAGAGAAAGGATAGGATAGCTGTTGGGCGCTAAGTAGGTGCTGAGGTGCAGATGGTCGATGCTCAATCACTGTTTACCACGGGGCTGAGATGAGCGAGCCCTGATCCTCTGGAGAATCTAGTTCAGTGACTTCAGGCCAGTCCTTTCCCTTCTTTGGGTCTCCATTTATTATCTCCATAATGAGGGTAATAGTGAGCATTTATCTTCTAGGTGCCAGATACCGTGCTAAGGGCTTTCCTTGCAGTTGTGACACTTAATTCTCACTGCAGCCCTGTAAAGTGGCACTCTACTGTCTGCATTTTGCAGGAAGAGACTGCAACTTGGAGGGATTACTTGCCAAAGGACCCACAATACAGCCAGGTTTGAAATGAAGCCAATCTGACTCCCAAACCTGGGCTAGATAGTCTTCCCACCCAGAGTGACTTCACCCACTCTTGGATCCCTGAGATTCTAAAATTTGCCTGTGCCTGTTCCTCCCCAGCCTGAGAACAATCTGGAACATAAGGGCAGGGTGAGGGTGAATGGTTCCAGGGGTTCCCTCCCTCACCCGACTGGCCACACCTCATTCTGGCCAAGCTGAGTGTGGTGAGCAGTGTTTGCATTAAACAAAAAACCAAACCCACTGCCATCTAGTGGATTCTGACTCATAGGGAGTCCATAGGGCAGTCAGACTGCCCCACACAGTTTTGAAGCTATAAATCTCTATGGAAGCAGACTGCTTTATCTTTCTCCCGCAGCACAGCTGGTGGGTTTGAACCACCCACCTTTTGGTTAGCAGCCCAATGCTTTAACCACTGTGCCACCAGAGCTCCTTTTAGTCTTTGCACTAATAGCTCTAAAGGGAAGGGGGCTCAGAAGAGTTGGCAGGCAGCCATAGGTAATCAAAGTGCTCAAACGGCCCTTTGGGAATATTTTTATGCTCATGACTATCCCTACCTCTGCTACCATACACCCTCCTGTCCATCCTGTCCAGTCTACGAGTTTTCTGATCTTAGAGTCGCAGAGAGGTGCCCTCAGCCCACAACCACAACTGACCCTTTCCCTAATAAATATTAATAATCTTTGAAATACCAGGCAGCTAGAGGAGCCCCTTGCTCACCCTGTGACACTCCCCACCTCAACTCCCAGTCAGAAAAACAAAGAGGAGAGAGGCATAAGTCAGGGCCACAGGCCCCCAGACTTTAAGGAGACTACCATTTTCCAAAGGATCATCTCCCCACACACGCAGTCTGAAATGTCACCATTAGTGGGACATTCTTTTCGGTCTTAAAGGCCTCATGGTCTTCCAGAACCTCCTGGAAGGGCTAATCCTCTTTTGAAGAGGGACATCTTGCAAAGTTATCCCACAGAACATTATGTCTTCAAGATCTCCTCACCCCATCCCCCACCCCCTGCAGCATTACGGATTAAGATATTGAGTTGCAGAGGACCCTGGTACAAATTCATACAGAGAATCAAGACCACTGAACACTCATCTCCTAATACCCACCCCAGGACTCCTTCCACCGTCCCCCAAGGTTCTACTTGGTCATTTTGAGAGGAGTGGGATAGGAGGGGGCTGGAGAGTTCTCGTTGAGTTGAGCAGGGACTCTAACTGCCCAGCCCCTCGGTACCTCCAGGTTTAACTGGCTCTGCAGGCTGACACTCCCCACCCCACATCCGTTACCTCAGCCACATACCTCGTCCTGGGCTTGAGCCTCAGCTGGGACCTCAACCTGTACCGAGCTCTCTGCTTTCTCTCCTCTTTTTCACTTCTCTGTTTTTCTCTGAGTGCAGCTGCTGCCTGCCCCACCTCACCCAGCCTCGCCCCACCAGCTGCAGCTTGGCCCCTAGGGACACACCCCGCCCCCCCCCCCCCTTACCAGGCAGGAAAAGACAAAGGTGGTAGGAGTTTGTAAGAGGGACGAGAGCCTCTTCAGGCCTCCATCTCAGGAACCAACAGGAAGGAGAGGGGTCAGTTAGAGGTCACAGAGTTCACCCCTGCCCTTGAGGAGGGGGGGAAGGTGGGGTCTGGAGTCCAGCTCCGTGCTGGGAAAGGGGGGCGCCTCGGCGCCACCTGCTGGTCCTTCTGGATATAACCCTGGGTAGATTTAGGGCATTGGGAGGCTGGTTGATGCCTGTATCTGAGGATTTGAGAGGCAGGAGACAGGAAGGATGGAGGGGACAGATATGAAGAATTGTGGCTGTGGGAGTAAGGCTTCCCAGGCACCAAGATGCATGCAGTGTTTGGGCTTTATCTAGATTCTGGGAAAGGTCCTGTATCCTGGCAGCCAGTGGGAGTCTGGGGTGGGCAGAGCTGGGAGGAATTAGTGGTGTTCTGGGTGGGCTCAGAAGGAGGCTGTTAGTATCAGTCTGCACACCAGCCCTTAGTACAAAGCCTCACATTGCATTAGGTACTCAATAAATGTTTATTGACTGTGTGGAATAAATTCATTTTTCCCACATTTATTTGTTGAGTACCTACTCTGTCCCAGAGTCCCTGGGTGGTGCAAATGGTTAGCATGCTGAGTTGCTAACCGAAAGGTTGGAGGTTCGAGTTGACCCAGAAGTGCCTTGGAAGAAAGCCCTGGTGATCCACCTCTGAAAAATCAGCCATGGGAAGCCCTATGGAGCACAGTTCTCCTGACATACATGTGGCCTCCATGAATCAAAACTGATGCTACCACAGCTGGCCTTTACTATTTACCAGGTTCTGTGCAGCCTTCGAAGGAGCTCTGGTGGCTCAATGGTTAAAGCACTCAGCTGCTACCTAAAAAGTCGGCTGTTCAAACCCACCAGCCACTTGGGGTGGGGGAACACATGGCAGTCTGCTTCTGTTAAGATTTACAGCCTTGGAAACCCTGTGAGGCAGTTCTATTCTGTCCTATAGGGTTGCTATGAGTCAGAATCAACTCGATGGCAGTGAGTTTTTGGGTGGGTGCAGCCTTCTGGAAATACAGAAATGGGAGAATGATTGAGTACATGAACAGGGACCTAGGTGGGGGTTGAAGGGTGAGGGGTGGGGCTCTGTTACCCTGCATTGATCTCCCTTTGGGGAACTCCACAGATGTCTCCTAGGAGACTGGCTGGCCACTCACAGGTTAGCCCCTCATGGGTCACCAGCATTTGGATGCTCCTGGGTGCTCAGAGCCGTCCAGAGTCCAGCACTAACCCAGGTGCTCAAGCCAGACCCCAGACAATCATTTAGAATGGGGAGGCTTCTCTTTGCAGCCTGAAATGGTCATGGCCTCTGTGCAGTGTGTCCCCCTAGAAACACCCTTCCCCCCAACCACCCTGCAAAATCACAAAAAGACTCAGGAGAAGGGCAAGAGATTTCTTTGGGGGATATAATAATTGAGCACCTACCAAGAGTTTGGCTCTTTGCCCATGTGGGTTTCAGTCTTAGGCCACCACATGTTATTAACTCCTTTTCCATATCAGGAAGCTGAGGTTCAGGGAAGGGCAGAGATGTGTCCTGGTCACAAAGCCAGTGAAGATGGAGCCAGGTCTCAAATTCACTTATGTGGCTTCAAGTTCAAGGCTTAATCCAATCTGCCTACTGCCTCCCCTCCCCTGTGGGGGACTCTCAGGACCAGCGGGGCCCAGGGATCACCAGAGGACATCAGCTTTCTTTCCCTGGAAGACCAGAGGCAGCTTCTTGCTCACAAAGGCTGTTGCTAAGCCCAGGGCTGAGACCACAACAGGGAAGGACCCCACCCACCCACAAACTTCCCATGTGCCAAGCACATTACTTATATAGAAGCCTCCTTGAATCCTCTGAGAGGTTGGAATTATTACCCCCATTTTACAGATGGGGAAACTGAGGCTCCAAGAAAAGGAGTGGCTTGCCCTGGGTCATACAGCTGGGAGACACTGGTCTGGACTATGTAACCTTCAAAATCCCCATCATAGCAATGATGAGGCCAACTGGACACAATGTTTCCTAAGTGTCTGGGGCTGGGTGCTGAGGACACAGTGCTGAACCAGACTGGCCTGAGTCCTTAAGGATCTCCTTGGGTGGGGGGAGGAGGAAAGACCTCTTAAAATACAGAGAGGGGACTGGTCTCTGAAACAGGAGGCACCATGGATGTACAGGTATAAGAGAATGTTAACTTGAGAGGAGAGCAGGGAGGGTGTGGTAGTTCAGGTTGCGTGTCAACTTGGCTGGGCCTGGTTGAGTGGCTGGGCAGCTGGGTGTAGTCATTCCCCATGATGACACTGGTAATCAACTCCGTCGTGGAATCTACTGTGAGCAGCTGAGTAGCCACATCCCTGCCTTAGGGATGTGGTCTTCTCCTCATATATAAGGAGAAGTATTAGGAATGGTCTGTAGCTTTTGGCATACTTGAATCCTGCAAGTAGCCAAGTCGTGGTTCAGCAGCCTGCCATGTTGTCTGTCGATACTGGGACTCTTAATGAACTTGAACCAATGGCCTGCCGTGTGGTTTGGTAATATCGGGACTGTGCCTTTTCACTTGTCGACCTTGGGTTTGTCAGCCTCAGCAGCCAGCAGCTACCTGAGTGAAGAAAGCCTGCAGCTTCAGTGGGCCGGGAGCAAGAGTCAGAGCCGAAGCCCAAGGCTGAAGGCTTTTATCCAGCCCCAAGAGCCTGGCACTTTGAACTGGGACTTCTAGCCTCCACAACTGTAAGAGAATAAACTCCTGTTTGTTAAAGCCACCCATTTGTGGTATGTCTTAACAGATGGCATGAGAGGTAACCAAACAGGGGGCTTCTGGAGGAAGTGATGTCCAAGCTTAGTAAGCACTGACAGCCAGGTGGTAATCCGTCAAATGAGGTGAAAGGGGCAATTGACCCTGAGGTCTGGGAGAGTGTTTAGGTGGGGTGACGGGTAGGTGGGTTTGCCACGAAGGCGCTGGGTTGTGGCAGCAGGACCAATAGGATTGGATTTGAAAAACTGTTCCAAGCTTCAAAGAGAAGTCAGGACTAGGGAGAGCTTCATTCATTCAATAAGTATTGAACCCCTACTAAGTGTTAGGTACTATGCTAGGCTCTAAGAACATCATGGGTAACAAAAGGACAAGGTCCCCACCCCCATGTATCTCACATTCCACTGAGAGAGACAGACAATAAACCAGTGAGCGACTGACTAAATAAAATACCTTCAGAGACCGCAAACCCAAACCAAACCCACTGCCATTGAGTTGATTGCAACTCATAGCGACCCCTACTGGGCTTCCAAGGTTGTAAATCTTTACACAAGTAGATTGCCTCATTTTCCTACCACAGAGCGGCAGGGTTTGAACTGCCAAACTTCTTCTTAGCAGCCAAATAAATGCCTACACCACCAGAGCTCCCAGAGACCACAGGGGCTAGAAAAACAAAATGATGGGTGGAGAGTGGCTGGGTGTGGTAATGTCAGGTAGTGTGGTCTGAGGGGCGACATCTGAACTGAGACTTGGGCAGAAAAGAAGCAAGAATATCACCAGAAAGGTGCTCCAGCCACAGGACCAGTAAATGCAAAGGCCCTGGGGCAGGAGCCATCTCGGCATCTTCAGGAACCCAGAGAAGCCAATGAGACAGGAGCTTAGTGAGCAAGGAGGAAGAGATGAGGACAGTGGAGATCAGATAGCACAGAGCCTTGGAAGTGTATTGAGGAAACTGGGATTAATTCCACTCGCAATGCAAAGCTTCAAGAGGGAGAGATGTGATCTGCTTTACATTTTAAGAGGGTCACTTTGCGGTGTGCGGTGTGCAGACCAGACCCCAGAACATGGGAGTGGAGGCTGGAGGCCTCTGAGAAGGCAAGGTGGCAGCTGCAGTTGCCTGGCCAGAAATGATGGAGTTTCAGCCCCGGGTGGCAGGTGACAAGGAGAGAAGTTGGTGGAGGATTCAGGACAACTTCTGTAGGAGGAACTGATGATGGATGAGTGAGGAGAAGAGAGATGAAGAGGAAGCAGGGTCGGGTCAGCTCTCCAAAGCCCAGTTCCAAAGGCAGAAACACCTGGCTGGGCAACACTGAGTCAGTCAGTCCACCTCTCTGAGCTCCAATGAAAAGGAGGATAACAGTACCCAACCACAGAGTGATGGGACGGTCAGAGACAAGAAGGAAGAACTGCAGGAGGAGAGGGAAGAGGGGTAGGTAAGAGGAAGAAGGGCTGGGTAGAGGTCTTCTAATTGGGTCAGGGAAGCCTCCTGGTATCCCTTCAGCCCTTCAGAGTCTCCAAAGGAAATGACTCCCATCTGCCAGCACTCAGAGAGGTTGAGAATTTTCCCAAGTTCATTGCTATGGATTGAATTGCATCACCCCAAAGTACGCATCCTAAACCCCTTTACTTGTTGATATAATCCCATCTGGGAACAGGGTTTTCTGAGGGTAATGAAGGTATGTCTTTTTTTTATTATTATTTTTTTTTCCTGTTTTTTTTTTTTTTTAATTTTATTTTGATTTGGGTGAAGATTTACAGAGTACATTCACTTTTCATACAGCAGTTCACATACATTTTGTCTCATGTCATTGACCAAAATTTACAATGCAACAGCTCCCCTCCCACTTTCTCCCCATAGTTACCTCTCCCCAGTGACCATCCCTCCATACTCTTCTGTGCCCTGAGCTGTCTCCCTGTGCATAAGCCGCCTGAAGGTATGTCTTGACCCAATCACTTTTGAGCTGTAAAAGGACCAGCTTAGGGGCAGCTTAAGTGGGGAAACGGAACTGGGTGAGACCCGATGTTGCCTGGAGGTTGCCAAGGAACGAAGAATAAAAGCCAAAAAGA